TTTGACGAAATGTATGTATGTATCACGGGGTGTGTGTCTGGTCCCTCATCTAATGTTAATTTTCAAAATCGGTGATTTAACGAAATTTTTTGGGTTTATTTTCGGCTGAGATTTTCTTCATATTAAAGTAAAGCAGGAGAACTCTCCGCAAAAACACTTTTTAATGGACCAAAGTTCGACATATTTAAGTAAATTAATTAAAACTCCAATGAATGACGTAGATCAAAAATTTTCTAAAGACTTTTTTGTAGAGCGTGAAATTTCCTATAAGAATATAATTTGGTTCAACAATACGTTAAGCCGGTTCAGAGTTGCAAAGTTCCAAAATTAAAGAAAAATTTTTTCCGTGTTATTTAAAAGGGAAATAGAAATTTGCGATGCGCGACATTGCTATTAAGGGCTCTGATTTTCACAGGCGTCTTTTTTCAGCTCCACGAAAGTTTTTACGTGAGGATTTCGAAAAAAAATAAAATTTTTGTTTTGAATCAGCCTAAAATACCTATTGATATATAAACCTAAGTATTAGTGAATTTATCAATAATTTAGTTAGTAGTTACAGTTATTTAAAGATGCAAAGATGTAAATAGATATAATAGTAAATCTTTCGAACAAACGTCTAGATGATATTTTTTCATTAATTTATTTTTAGTGGCTTATTATTAAATTATACCCAAAAGATAGCGACTCTGTACATCTTGGTAATGATATTAACAATTCATGTAATACGTCATATACATATACGGATAAATTTTTTAATGTTTAAAATCCTAAGTATTTGGATATACAAGTTGACATCAATTTTCGAAGATAATATTAGACAAGCTAAACAATTGCTTAAATGTTTTCAATGGACAAAGATATTAGAATTTATAAAAAATTTGTATAATTACTTACCAAAGAGCTCCAAGAGGACTTTGTTCTGTCAAAAGGGTAAAATGTTATGTCCATTATTCCCCATACTCCTCTCCAGACAATAACAACTAATGTTCCAATGACTAGAACGGAAAACAGTGTGTCGAGAACGTACAAGCCAGGTTGGTGAAAACCCTAAAAAATTTGATTCTAGTGAATTATATTAATTTTTGAAAACAAAAAGGAGCCTAGGAAAATATACCTATTTACTTTCATTTGGATATTTGATAGATAGTGTAATATACGCAGAATAAAATTATTAACGCAGCTAAAATTGATTTCATTCATCTCTGAAATATATTCTTCACGAACTGTTATGCGTGTGATAGAAATGTAGTAACAATACCATAATACAAATGCTATGGTATTTTGTTTACTACGGTTGAAGACACAAAGCAAAGTAGTAAACCGAAATACTATCTTTGTTTCACAGGCAATACTCGTAATTCAAATAATTAAAAAAATTGAAGAGCTTTTGTTCAAAAGTTTTTGTCTAAGTTCGTTACCCATTTTAGCTGTGTTTCTTAAAATACTACAATGAAATATGATAGCTTGTTATTGTAATCAACCATTGCTCACATGGTAAAGTTTGATGACACATATCTGGTATTTGTTCGTGAGTAGATGTTTATTGTATCATAACAGTGCGCAACATCCACTTTATATATAATATATTTTTAAAACCGCACAGAATCATTTCATGTTTCGCAACATAATGATAGATATTATAATAGTTTTTTTCAACTAACGGTGGTTGTATCACCTAAAACTAATCGATATAGGTAGATATAGAGTGTAATAAATGATAAGGATGACGATACGAGTTGGGATTCTGGGTGACTGTCCGTCCGTCTGTCCGTGCAAGCGATAACTTGAGTAAAAATTGAGATACCGAAAAGTATGAAGAGGCATAAACGATTTAAAAAAGCTGGTCCTAATAAGTTTAATGTTCATACATTATATATATCAACAACCACTAAAGCTGACTCAACTAAACTTGCTGAGGACAAGTCTTTCTAGCTTTTCCTCATACACTGTGAAAATGGGTAAAATCATACGATAACCACGCCCACTCCCACATAACGGTTATGTTCAAAGCTATTGTACTAAAAGTGTGATAACTCACCAAATAAATACTACAGAAGCATACAATTTCGCTGTCAAGATGGTGCTTAAGGGTTCCACAAGAATCGGTATTTTAGTTAAATTCTTTATTTCACGAACTAATCAATCAATTTAACCAAATTTTCTGCATAACATTACTCTAAAATTCTTATGGTACAGTATAAAAATGGATTAGATCGGACGTGTGACATCTTACGCTTAAAAACTGTCGAAATCGGAAAATAAAATGAGCCTTTACTTCAAAAATGCGTAAAATCCAACATAAATTTTGAACTTCCGGTAATTAATAAAATCCGGTCAATACTAACCATAGCCCTCATATTTCTAATATTGTAATCACAGTTGATTTTAAACCCTATGTTTAAGTCAATATTTGCAACATTTTAATGAAATTATTATAGCAATTCAGTACTACAGTCACAAGTCTATAAATTTGAGATTTGAAATAAGATAAAAATTTTGCGACTTATAGACGATTTTGCAATTCAGTACGTGATAGTCACAAAAGTCTCTCATTTGAAAACGAACAGGTCTAATCAGTTGTTACATTTCAATATTTAGAGATGTGTATAAAACCTGAAAAAAATTAACATGTCTATAACAAATATTAAATTTTTTTTAACACAGTCAAAAAGCATAATTGCAATCACATTACATAGTTAAACAATTTATTTGAAATTGTTTTTTTTTTTTTAACTTTCACGTGTTTGAATTGCTGTCAAAATATAAGGTTGGAAGGTATCTCCCTTCCGCTTTTTTGTCTTTTGAATTTCGCGGCTATGTACAAGCGGTACAGAGCTCGTATCTGGCAACACTATACATAATTTGAAAGGTCTTGACATAACCTACAAAACAACGCTATGCATGATTAGTTTGGATATTGCGTTCAACAGTTATAGACGTGTAAACATGGAGTTCACTAACGCCGAAATTCGCGCTATTTTAAAGTTTTCCTTCGTTAAAGGCAAATCCGCTAGAGAAACGTTCCGTGAGATTAATGGTGTTTTGGGGGATGGTACTCTATCACTTCGAACCGCGGAGGAATGGTTTCGACGATTCAGAGCCGGTGAAAACGACACCATGGATAAGCCAGCCGGCGGAAGACCTGTGACGACAAATACCGATCAAATCATGGAATATATCGAGTTAGACCGGCATATGGCATCTCGTGACATCGCCCAGGAGATGGGAGTTAGTCACCAAACCATTTTGAACCATCTGCAGAAGGCTGGATACAAAAAAAGTTTGATGTTTGGGTGCCGCATAATTTGACGCAAAAAAACCTTCTGGACCGAATCAACGCCTGCGATATGCTGCTGAAACGAAACGAACTCGTCCCATTCTTGAAGCGGATGGTGACTGGCGACGAAAAATGGATCACATACGACAATATCAAGCAAAAACGGTCGTGGTCGAAGGCCGGTGAATCGGCTCAAACGGTGGCCAAGCCGGGATGGCTTTGCTGTGTGTTTGGTGGGATTGGAAGGGAATCATCCACTATGAGCTGCTCCCATATGACCAGACGCTTAATTCTACCATCTACTGCGAACAACTGGACCGCTTGAAGCAGGCGATCGACCAGAAGCGTCCAGAATTGGCCAACAGGAAGGGTGTAGTGTTCCACCAGGACAACGCCAGACCACACACTTCGTTGATGACTCGTCAGAATCTACGGGAGCTCGGATGGGAGGTTTTATCCCATCCACCATATAGCCCGGACGTAGCGCCAAGTGATTACCACCTGTTCCAGTCCATGGCGAATGCCCTTGGTGGTGTGAAGTTGAACTCAAAAGAGCCTTGTGAAAAGTGGCTGTCCGAATTCTTCGCAAATAAGGAGGGGGGCTTCTACGAGGAAGGTATTATGAAGTTGCCGTCTAGATGGAAACAGATCATCGAACAAAATGGCGCATATTTTAACTAAATCCGATCACTGTAACACTTTTTATAAAGCATTGAATGAAGAGCAAAAAAGCGGAAGGGATACCTTCCAACCTTATATAAAAACTGGCAATCGAATAATATCTATGGCGATCTCTATAAGCGTTATGTCATTCGTAATACAAGTTATACGTGTATAAAGATTTATGCTAGATTGATTTTAATATAAATACAGTCAAACCTGAGTAAGAGAGAACTGAGTAAGCGAGAAAACTCTATAAGTGAGAATAATTCTCAGGTCCCGAACTTTGACCTCTCAAAAATCTCTATGAGTGAGAAACAAAAACCTCCATAAGTGAGAGTCGTTTTTTCCACTCCGACTTCTATAACTGAGAGCCTCTTTTGTATTTACCTCTATAAGCGACAATTTTCCTATGTGAGTAAAAACACGTCAAGTGGACACCCCATTTTCCACTTGATCATCGAATTTGAATGTGAGTATTTTTTCGTAAAGTAGTCATCATGAGCAAGTAATCTCCCGCTCAGTTTTTTTAAATTTTAATTTAAACAACAATTTTTTTTTAATTGAAAATTTAATTCAAAGTACAAATTTTGAACTATAACTCCTGAAAATTTCATTAAAAAATCACCAATAGTTTTCTAGTTATTAATTTTTTAACTAAAAGTAGTAAAAATTTTCAATTAAAAAAAAATTGTTGTTAAAATTAAAATTTAAAAAAACTGAGCGGGGGATTACTTGCTCATGGTAACTACTTTACGAAAAAATACTCACATTCAAATTCGATGATCAAGTGGAAAATGGGGGGTCCACTTGACGTGTTTTTACTCATGTATGACTCCATCTTTTTTTTCAGGAATCTGGAACTATGTTGTTTTCTTGTAATTCAAATAAATAATATTTAACTTTATTAAATTATTTGTCATGCTCACTGCAGTTCATAAATATTATTTGCAACGAACAGTACAGCTCTTACAACAACTTACAATGTCTAAACGAAAAATATACTAGTTGTCGTTTTAGTGAGAAACCTCTATAAGCGAGAAAAATATCATGGTCCCTTAAACTCTCTCTTAACCAGGTTTGACTGTATATCGAATTAAGGACCGTTTTTTAATACCCGGTAAATATTTCCCTTAACCGCTGGAAGCTTAACTGGATGATAACTTTAACTGTTTTCACCAAGTTGTGGTTGACTTACCTACAAATAGTTTGGTTATTTTGAGTGCGTGAGAAAATAGTTAACAAAACTTGCATTGTGAACACGCAAAACTATGTAAACGTCATGAGCTATGTATGTGCCAGTTTTCGTAGACGAGGGGACGACGAGGGGACGACGAGGAAAGACCGTGCCGCTTGTGATCGTGTGGATCACTTTGTATTCTTTTCAACAACTGTTACAGCTCGCTGCTACGAAATCTGCATTCCTTTTCATTTTGAATTCCTTCTTGGTTGCAACAGCGCTCGGTTTCAAAGGGCAGCTGTCATTTCATGTTCTGGTTAAAAACTAACCAATACTTCTTCTTTAGATAAAGTTTACCAGGACTTTACTGACAGATGGTTGCTAACAATGGTTGAGAAAACCATTTTTCAACATGTTGCAGATAAAGTTCTGGTTAAGCGCTTAACCATACATTGATAAAACGGCCCTAAGTGATTATAAGACCTACAGTTTAATTTAGATACCAAATATGATTGTGATCTATTCACAATTTCTTCGAATAACGAATATTGAATTCCTTCGCAACATTTGTATACTCTCGCAACATGTTGCTAGAGAGTATAACAGTTTTGTTCACCTAATGGTTGTTTGTATCACCTAAAAATATTCGAGACAAATATAGAGTTATGTATATATAAAAGATCAGGATGATGAGATGAATTGAAATCCGGATGACTGTCTGTCCTTCCGGCCGTCCATCTGTGCAAGGTCTAACTTGAGTAAAAATTGAAATTGTCACAATTGGACGTTGTCAGGCCCACAAAACACAATTATTCTATAAAGTGTCATAAATATGATCCAAATCAAGATACAAAACTATATTTTGTTCGTAGTCGCAAAGGACACTTGTGACTTAAAATTTTTTTAAAAGTGACCTTGGCCCCATATTCTACATGGTTTAATGTACATATCATCCACACTACTGAACCTCAGAAGAAAAACGCAAGCAAGTTGAGGAAACTTGGTAAAAGCGTTTGTTGACACTTAAAAGAGCGGAATCGGACCATTACCACGTCCAAAAAACGCAATTAATAGAAAACTACACGAAGATACAAAACCATTTGTAAGTAAAACGAATCGTATTAGGGATGTGAATGTGAGGTTTTAAAAATTTTGTAAAGTGGGAGTGGCCTCGCCTCCTAATAGGTTTAATGTACCGAAATTGTTTAACGTACATTTTTCGGCAGTACGAAAGGGCTCTATAGGAGCCGGTATCAGAATAGTACAATGGGCATGGCACCGACCACCTCTAGGTGAAATCCCATATCGTGACTGTATTACGGTGTGAAAATGGGCAAAATCGGACAAAAACCATACCTTCTTATATTATATTAGAAATTCGGAGAGAATATTTTTCTAATAATACGGTACCCTTGTGTCAAAATGTATAAAATTGGGTCAATACATCCCTTAGCTCCCATACACCTAATGTAAAGATTTTCGAACTTCCGGTTCACTTTATACCATATATATCAACATGTGAGATATCTTAAAGAAATTAAAATACTATCTCTATTTAATAAGAGTGTGTCCTTATGTCTAAAATGTATAAAATAGGGTCAATAATACCTCTAACCCCCTTATAGGAAGGATTTGAAACTTCCGGTTGCTTTTGTATTATTATTGTAAAATTATTGTTTAATGTAAAATATCGGTAAAATTTATCAAGGAATGTGTTGACAATGCGGGCAAGAACAGTCAGCTGATATTCAATTTATTACAAAATGTCTGAAATGAGAAAATCTTGGTTTGATTTTTTAAATTTGTAAACGGAATACTAATTTACTACACAAATATATTTATTTTGTTCATTTGAGGTCTAGAATACATAAAAATGAAAACACGCCTAATAATAAGTATGCTATAGTTTAATGGCAAAAATATGTGACATTAGTCTACCGGCAAAAACAATCAGCTGATATTCAATTTATTTCAAAATGTCTGAAATGAGAAAATCTTAGTTTGATTTTTTAAATTTGTAAACGGAATACTAATTTACTATACAAATATATTTATTTTGTTCATTTGAGGTCTAGAATACATAAAAATGAAAACACGCCTAATAATAAGTATGCTATAGTTTAATGGCAAAATATGTGACATTAGTCTACGGGCAAAACAATCAGCTGATATCAATTTATTTCAAAATGTCTGAAATGAGAAATCTTAGTTTGATTTTTAAATTTGTAAACGGAATACTAATTTACCATACAAATATTTTTATTTTGTTTATTTGAGGTCTAGAATACATAAAAATGAAAACACGCCTAATAATAAGTATGCTATAGTTTAATGGCAAAAATATATGACATAAGTCTACGAATTACTTCAATTCCCATATACTACATTACATGATTTTTGTTATTCTAACAAACCTTATGACGAATATGGTGGTCAGTGTGTGAGTTATTTATATAGAAATTGCTTTAAAGTTTAATGCAACAAGCCCAGACCTTACTTTGCCCCAAAATACCCTATATAGTGATTTCCGACTTTCCAGTTGACTTTAAACCGTTTATGTATGATAATTTAATGAAAGTAAGTGGACAAGTCTTCCTTAAAATTATGTAGTTTCGCGTTGAGTATGAATGGAGTTGGTCCAAACTGTGGTATAAACCTTGGTTGACGTTATGCATATTAGCTTATTTAATTTAGCCTTTTCGGTTGAGTTTAAAATATAGCAATAAAACTGAGGGAGTCTATGACCTATAATATAACTTAATATAATACCAAATTCGATTGAAATTCTTTGACGATTTTGTCGAATAACGAATGTTGAATTTCTTCTCAACATTTTTTAATATAAAGTTTTGTCAACACCTGAAGGCATATTCCCGGATTTGATCCTTGCATGTAGCAAGAGTATGAAATGTTCGGTTATAACCGAACTTAGCCCAGCCTTACTTGTTTGTTTTGCAACATCTGAATATTTTCTCCGTCTATAATCTGACCAGTTTGCGAACTTTGCTCTTCCTTACTTGTTTATATGTAAATACAATTGGTAGCTTTCTTGTTATGAAGATTTTGTGCGAATGAACTTACCGGTATTTTAAACATAGTGTCAACGTCGAAATAATCATTTTTATGGTCCATTGTAACCGCATATGGTGCGGCGCTTAGATTTCGAACAGTCCGTGTTGCAATCAAAAACATCAAAGACACTAGCGTTACGGCGACAATAATTATTAAGGAGTCCGCACTGGTGAGCCAATCGCATAAGATCCACGAGCCTCGCCACATGTTCACACATACGATGCCGAATAGAGCTGTGTAGCTTCGCGAAATTACGTAATAAGTGAGGCGACGCTTATCAGGATTAATGTAACTTCGAAAACAAGATTGCGTGATTGTAAAGATGAAGTGACCCGAAATACCAATCAAAAAGGACATCAGCGCAGATAGCGGCATGCTCCGTGGGAACAATAAAACTCCCATCAGTTCCCAAGTTCCTCGCCAATAGGCGATTACGCAAGGTGCCACTATGACGCATGAAAGCACTGCGTCCAGTATTTCCAGAAATAATTCATGCAGGCTTTTGATATTTTCCTTCGGACTTAAATTAGTAATGTTATTGCTTTTCTCTGTTTTTTGTTTAGCAATGGACGGTGTACTTGCTTCCCTACTTAACATCATTTGTTATAATTAAGACTACGAGAAACGAGTGATTAATTTTATTTCTCAAGTTGGTATACTTCTTTTCTATATCGCCGTATTTAATCTGTCGTTATATATGTACACGTAATGTATATTATCTGTGAGTTACTCCGTGATCAATGTAACTAATCCGAAGTCGATGAAACGTCTATATGTAATAATTCATATCCAAAGCACTTCTGATGATGCAAAATCGAAGTCGTGATACACAGCTACGTTGTATGCATGCGATTGTCTTCATCTGCAAGCATCAACAGCCTGAAAAGTTAATTTATAAAACATTTAAATTAAATATTTTTAAACTCTCTAAAGCTAATCGAGGTAGATATAGGGTTATATTTTCGTATATATTGTATAAGTGATCAGAATAACGAGATGATTTGAATTTCGAGTGACTGTCTGTCCGTCGGTCTGTCGGTGCAACCGATATCTTGAACAAAAATTAAGATATTTTGTTGAAACCTTGTACATGCATACGAGTATGTTCTTTGGCACGAATGGGAGATTGACACGTCCACTAAACGCCATTAATCGAAAGCTTAGACAGAGATAACTTAACTCCACAATGATAAACAAAACTGTTAGTTGGCACAACCAATCCTATTAGGAAGGAGCATTTACAGTTTCAAAAGTTATAATAAAAGCGTGGCCCCTCCCCTATTATATAATATTTTTGTTCATATCCCCAAAACCACAAGAGCTATATCAATTAAGTTTGCTGAGGACAAATACTTTTAGCATGTTCACCGACTGTGGAAAGTGGGTAAAATCCGATGATAACCCCACTTTCATATAATGATATCATTGAAAACTACTAAAAGTGCGATAACTGACTAAATAAATACGTCAGAAACATTAAATTTCAAAGCTAAGACTTACTTACTACTTGCTCGAGAATTTTCAACCAAATTCGGTATATAAAATTTTCCTGACACTCATACATACATATATTACGGGGTGAAAATCAAGCCCACTTCCCATATTATACAATTATAAATTTCATCTTTTCCAGAACACAAATGAAGCTCCGATGAATATTTCTACATAAAACTTTGCAAAAATTGTGCCTTTAAAGTTTGCCGCCTCTTGACTAAAGATTGTCAAAATCGGATTATAACAGTTCAAGCCTCCAGATACCGAATATGTAGACTCCAGTGCCCATGGCTATTTTTCACCGAAAATATCGTTCAATCTGAGAAATATGTTATTAAAATTCGGAGAGAATCATTTCCTGATAACAGTATGCTTTTCTATCTAAATTGGGTAGAACCGTGCCAATATTTCCCTTAGCCTCCATATACCTACATAAAAATTTTCAAACCTCCAGTTGACTTTATACCGCTTAATAAAATTCAGAGAGAATAACAGTGTATTTTTGTACCTAGAAGGCTTTTCAAACATCCGGTTGACTTTACATATTATATATTGGTAAATATGTAAGGTATCTTAATGAAACTCGGAGAGCATATTTTTCTGGTAATGTTATGTCGTAATGCCAAAACATTTTAAAATCGGATTAATACTATCAATGTATCTAATATAAGAAACTTCCATTTGGTTTTATATCGTATATATCGGTAATTGAGATACCTTAGAGAAATGAAGTGAACGTACCTTTAACACTTTATATACTATAGTTTAGTACAGAAAATTTGTAAAGCCGGTCTATAAATTACCCCAGCCCTCATATACTACCTTTAGTATACTTTAGTAATAACAAAGGTAAATACAATCACTCCAGTTCCAATATATCCGATATAGTAATTTTCGACTTTCTACCTGACTTTGGACCGTACATTTAAGATAGTTTGATAGTGTAATGAAATTCAGTGCACAAGTGTTCCTACGAATTATGCAGTTTAGCGCTGAATTTGAATAAAATTGGTCTAAACATCATAATCCTAATACATATAATGAGTTCCAATTTTCGGATTGACGTTTTCCCAATATATTAAATTTCAACCCAATATATTAAATTTAGCCTCAAAGCTAATGCATTCAGCCCATCCCTTTCTCTGGCTCCAATATCCTATATAACGATTTCCTACTTTCCACATACCTTTAAACCATTTAGGTTGATCAAAAGGTGCGATACTTTAATCAAATTATATGAACAAGTTTTCTTAAAAGTTACGTATTTTACCGCTGTTCTAGACTATAGTTTAAACCTTTCACATCAACTCATTATTTGAAATTTAACCTCTTCGGTTGAGTTTATATCACATATTTCTAATTTAGGGATGATATTAATATAACTTTCGTGGACGTGAAGTAAAATATAGTAATAAAACCAATTTCCACAACAGCCGAATCTACGTTACCGGAATTGACTCGGTTTTTATCCGGTCAAAGGCTGATATTTTAGCGATCTAGCCCCGTTTGAATCGGTGAGTTTTAGTTAAGATTGTTTTCACTGGAGCAACGCCAACGAGCTGCCATTGAGCCCAACCCGGGCACTGAGGAATTTTTCTGCCAAGAGGCTCCATCCAAACTTCCATGCATTGCAACACATGCAATGGATGGAGCCATCTTAAGACCTGTTCAGGCCTTAAGATCCACAGGGGGTGGATCACGAGTTATATGGCCTTATGCTGTCAACACACTATTGCGACACCAGCCTCAACGGCCGTGCAAATTTCACCATATCCGCGCACTGCGCCGCCCCCCCAATCGAGTATCCAACAAAGGACCTCTATGGTCCTTCCTCGGCTGGAAGAATCGGGGAGCACCGCCCCAATTTCGCAGCCGAAGCAGCTGTTTTAACTAACTCAAATGGGGAGTGCATTTGAAGTCTTGTAACCTCTCCGCCGGTGGGAGTAAGCTTTGGACTATTGTCAAGGTCTTGTCAAATCCGAAGATGCATGACGACATCAAAAAACCAAAATCTTCCAAATCCATTGGCCCTGATGGAATTAACATGCTGTTGTTAAAGCATCCACCTTGACGAGTAAGTTTCCTAACCAAGGTCCTTAACTCAACAACCTCGCACTCTTCATGTACCCCATGTGTGAAAAGTCGAAAGAGTGGTCCCACTACTGAAGCCTGAAGCCGATAACTCCCCAGTACTGAATAAACTTGACGCCTCGCTACTCTTGACATTCACTCACTAACTGAGCCTAGCAGATGCTGGCGGTCTGCATGTCACTAACCACCTTTCTGCATGTCCAACGAACCCTACATATAAAATGTTCGGTTACCCCCAAATTTAACCCTTCCTTACTTGTTTTCTTTAGATATCCTTAATTACTTATATCCTATCAAACTTCACGTTAACTCGTTTTACTAATACATATCCTCTTATATTCCATTAACCAAAGTAACCAAGGTTGAATTTTCCTACGGATCACTTTTTTGTGGTAGGGGGAAGCAGCGAAAACCGGACGCGGAACTTTAATTCGCTAAACCTAATCCCCCCCAGATTAAGTATTAGTTCATTTAGTGTTCTAAAGTCTCCTGACTGACTCCTAATCTGTTGTAAGTATCTTAGTTTCGTCATAATTAGAGCAGACGCTTCGCTGACAGCTTTCAATTTTTCAGAGGACTGACACATATTTTCACCGTAACATTACCGCTGAGTGTAGATTTTAAATTTTCTCTTTTATTTAAAAAAACGGAGGCACTGAAAAAATACGTGTTCAGAGTCTTCTATCCAGTTCGGATCACTTATTTGATTTGCAGTGTTGTCGACCAACGTAGTTATGAAAAATGGACACAAATTCAACTTACTGTTATCAAGCTGTCTGTTAAATCTTTTGATCATTTTGGAAAGTTGTCTTAACCAATTGTTTTATTATGCCGAAAGATTACAAGCCACATGACCATTTCCCATGCATTGTAATGTATGCATGTATGTACACACAAAACATGAATGTGTATGCGTCAGAGTATTAGTTTATTGGTTGTCAACTTTACGCTTCACTCAGTACAGATTAATTTTGCATGTACATGTTTGGGAATTGTTGATTTATAGTGTTTAAATAAAAATCACTCTGTTGTTTATATGATAAGAGTAGATACAGTTTTATAGGTATATACAGAGTACACACATATGTACTACATGTACCTACATATGGTTGGAATTATGCGCCATCCCACCACACTATGTTTAATTTATAAGATGTGATAAAATAATTTCAGTTGCATCTAGTTATTTATGAGTTTGATTAAAAACATGTAAAATAAGTAAGGAAGTTCTAAGTTCGGGCACAACCTAATTTCATACTCTTGCAACTTGCAAGGATGAAATCCGAGGAAATACTTTTGGGTATTGGCAAAACTTTATTTTAAAACTGTTGCAAAAGAATTCAACATTCATTGTTCGACGAAACCGAATGGCTTACAATGAAATTATACTCAATTACTTTTACGTTACTCTCAATTTAATTTACTCTCCGTAAGCGAAAGTCATATTTAAATCATCTTCAAATATGATACAAACTCAACCGAAGAGTCTAAATTTAATAAATTGAGTTAATATTGAAAACGTCAAAGGATCGGAATTCATTATATTAGGGATATGAAGTTTGGACCAAGGTTTACACAAACTCTGGGCTTGTTGCCTTAACCTTTGGCATTGCTCAGGTATAGGCGAGAAGACGTATTCAAGCAATTTATAATAAATAACTCACACACTGACCGACATATTCGGAACGAAGTTTGTAAGAATAACGGAAATCATTGTACATAAGTAGGATATGCGAATTGGCTTAATTTGTAGACTAATTTCACATATTTTCGGCATTAAACTATAGCATATCCAATATTGTACGTTATTACATATTGACCAATATATATATTATAAGGCCAAAAGTAAGTTTGAAAATTTGATATTAGGTATATGATGCCTAAGGAATGTATTAACCCGATTTTATCTATTTTTGGCTACTACGTATGTTTAACAGAAAAATATGCTGTCTGAGTTTCATTAAGGTACCTCACTTACCATCACCAATATATGAGGAGTAAAGTCAACCCGGCTTCACTTATTTTCATACTATCGTAAGAGGTGTCTAAAGGATTTGCCTTCTGAACATTTGAGTTAGTTATTGCAACTTATAAGTTTTCGATTAATGGCGTTTTGTGGACGTGGTAGTATTCCGATTACGTCCATCTACTAATAGCAACCTTTTTATGGTGCCAAGGAATATGTTTATCAAGTATGTTCATGAAGATATCTTAATTTTTACTCAAGTAACAGCTTGCACGGTCAGACAGATGGACGGACAGACAGACATCCGGATTTCAACTTAACTCGTCAT